ATTTATATTTATCGTCAATTTAATAAATTTAAAAGCTTTTATAAAACTTTAGTGTATATTTTTTTTAAAATTTAATGTGGATATATAAATCAAATATAAATAAAGAATTAATAAAATAATATTTAAAAACAAGAAGTATTAATTTTTTTCTAATATTAGAAAAATCATAAAGCATGTTTTGATATAAACTAAACATACTTGATATATCTCATATATACGTGTATATATAGGGTTGGGTTTTAGTGAGAAGAAAAATTATGATGAAAAATGTAAGAAAAGACTTCACCCTTAAATCAATTTTAATTGAACGTCAATACTAATAAGATGTACCGAAATGTATCGGATCAATTCTCTTTTAAAGTGTAATTCATGGGTGGATATGACATTAAAAACAATCAAGAGTTCAGTTCTCAACTTATTTTTCTCAACATAACTTTTTTTCTCACACGTTTTTTTTTTTGCATACAAACTAATCTTAATCACCCATCTAGATTCATAAATCATATGCATATATATGGGGAGAGATCACTTGTACAAATCGTATAAACTGTCGGTTTCATTGTTTTAATTTAATGAAATCGTTTCATAAAATTGTTTGATATGATAAAATTATTTCATATAATTCTTTTTTTTATGATTTTGTTTCTATGTAAAAACGAAATTGTTTTAGATATTTTTCATTTTGATGAAATTTGTTTTTTAAAGTTAATAAAATGAAGATGCATGATAATGTCCATAATTAACGTCCTAGACAATAAAAATGACAAATCAACTCTCATAATTAAAAAAAGTGAAAAAAAAATATAATTAGTTGAATGTCATTTGTACGATTTATACTCATCTATCTAGTCTAATAAATATTCAGTTTCATAAATATCTCATATATATATATATATATATATATATTCAGTTTCATAAAGAATTGATCATAATTAATAAACTTTAGTTATATTTCATAAATATTTAAATCATGGTAAATAAACCATCATCGATCGTTTTTATAAATATCTCAATGGATTGGTTTTTATGCTGTGTAAATGACATAGTTTGTATTTAATTTCAACTCCCTCTAAATACATACATATATCATATTAATCTTCACCCGTCATTGCATGGGTACATCACTAGTATATATATATATATATATATATGTGTGTGTGTGTGTATGTGTATGTATCAAAGTTTTTTTTGAAGAAAACAAAAAATTATTAAGCGGAAACGGAGTCATACATCAAAGTCTCGAACATATACGAAGGAGGAGACAAGATAACGTTGTAGCTATTAACCATACAAGGGATTCAAGCAATCAAATGGGCAACCTTGTTAGCTTGCTTTTGAACATACTTATCAGAGATATCACCACGGTCTTGGAGCTTCATGCTACAACTTTTGATGAAGTGATTTGTCCCTTCTAGCACCCTCACCGTGAGAAGAGAGTCGGTCTCAACAACAACATGTTGGAGTTGTAGCGAAAGAATCTAAGAGAGAGCTTCGTTTACACCTATAACTTCTGCTTCAAAATATATAACAATATAAAAACAATTGATAAGATCAATAACAATTTTAATTAATTGACACTAATCAATATTTCACAATTAAAATTAGTAAATAGTTAATACCAGATAATATTAATAATTAATAACAATAAGTATTAATTAAAGTATAATTAGAAGAAAGCAGTAAAAAATAGTTATAAACTTATTTATTAAAACGCTATTTGATATAACATTTCAATAAAATATTTTACGAAATATCTTTTTTCCATCTAAATAGAACTTTTAAAATTAATATAAATAATAAACCATCTTATATTTATTACAGATAACTTATATTATTATATTAAATAAAATTTTGTGTATATATATTGACATAAATAGCTATTCGTTTGTTTTTCTTTTTTGGGGAGGTGAGTAGGCGAGATGGAGATGGATTTTTATAAAATATTTTATTAATTAAAAAAAAAGAAATTGAATTTAATAAAATCAAATATAAGGTGGGGAATAAAATGAAATAAAATCAAAAGCTTGATAAATGAAAATGCGTTTCAAACGATAGAAAGAGACCTTGGAACACGACATGCCACGCCAATCTTCTTATCTTCTCACCAATGGCGGCCTATTCATATTTTTTTTCTTTCGAATAGTTGTATCTTTAAGGTAGATCAAATATCTGTAAATTCGTCTGATATTTTTTTAACTGAAACAAGGAAGATATATAGGTTAATAAAAAAATATCACAGTTTGATGGTTTATACCATACGAATATGGAAGAACAAAAATTCTTTTGTGGCCACGAAAGTTTAAATGCGGTGACTCCGGACTACCTGCAAAGCAAAACAGCTGGTCGCCCTGGGATTAGTCGGCTCACATAGCGGTAGGATATCCAGGTTAACAAATTTTTTTGGTTGAATATAAATTTTAACTTAGACGAGGCTTAGCCACAACAAGGAAGCGGCATTTTTCAAGACGTGATATAAAACAACAAATTTGTATGTCATATATGACTATATATACAAGTTTAATCATTTGAGAAATTTATATATTAGATAACTACGTGACCTATGACTGTAAGTTACTTTTCACATGGTTATTTCTATCTAAGGTTAGAATTTAATATTTTGATTAACATGTATTTGTTTTACAACGTGTTAATTTTATATGTATTTGGTTCATAATGAAATCTTTTGGTATCATTTTTTGTTTCACAAACACATAAAAGATGTCCACATTTTGAAACAAACACACTGCGAAACAAATATATGTTAATCAATACAGTAAATTCAAGTCGTAGATGAAAAAAATCATGTGAAATTCTCACACTATACACACACACACACACACACACATATGCATGTTTTCTATTTATTATTCAATGATATAATGATATTAATTTTGTTATATTCATATTAGAAGAAGAACAATCATATGTGTGAATTAGTGTCATATAAAAAGTATGTGATGATATATTTAAAATAAAACTTGGAAGAGTTTTACAGTTTTGTTTTAATCGTGATATGTGTGAATCTATGAAACTACAAGTGCCATGAACCGTGATTAGGTAAGTCTGCAAAAGTCTAAAACCTAAAAGTAAAAGTACTAAAATGCGATTGGATTTTTATAAACTATAAAAACCCACGCCTTGTAAGAAAATGCATGTCACAACGCTCCTCAAAACGCCATGGCATAAGTCATTCCTTACACAAACGTTACAAATCTTATCGTAATGGCGGAAACACGATGTGTCGTGGCTCACATATTTTATGTTCTGTTCTCGAATCTGGGAGAAAAAGAAAGGGAGAGAAAAGAAAGAAAATGAAGAAAAGAAAAAGAAACAAGATAAATTTTAATGTTCTTGAACATGACGGAAATGGAAAAAAAAATCTCTTTTTTTACAAATATAATCTTTAAAAATGTATCATTTATAACAAAAAGTTTGGGTATTTTTGTAATTTTAATAATCATTTAGATAATTTTAATTTCTTTCATTCGCCCTTATCTTTTCTCCCACATATGGAAGGAAAGTTTTGGGAGAAAACTTATCATCAGTTTTCTTCTGTTTCATTTCTTTTTTCTCCTAAAAGAGTTTCGAGAACATACGTTTTTTGCTTTCCCCCTTTTCACCCCTTTCATTTCATTTTCCTCATAAAAAGATTTCGAGAACATAGCGTTAAGATAGATAATACTTAGAAAGAAGGGCATTTTAGTAATTTGATTATATAAATTCTTTTTGATACGAGAATGCTCGGTATCGAGTATAGAATTTTGATTGCTGAGAACATCTCCAACAGACTCTAAAAAATGGACAAGTAAAAGTAGAGGTGTTCGTGATCCAGTTTGGACGGTTTAATCCCTCAAACCACAAACCAAATCGTAATGGTGGTCTATTTTTTTTCCCAACCGAGTGGTTTGGCCGTAATTAACCAAACCGGACCACAATTACTCAAGATTTCACTTAATTTTAATTCTTATTGATACATATACAAAAAATTACACAAAGAAACATGATTGTTGCGAAAATAGAAAAGACTAGAAATTTATTCAAACGATCATACAATTAAAAAAAAACAAGAACACAAATTTAAACATAGAGAAAAAGTTATGCTGGTAAAGCCGTCGATTTTTGCTTTATTCATGTAAAGAGTCTTTTTGAAAGCGTAACCTTGCATGGAGCAACCACTCTCCTTTTTATACCACCCCACGCATTAAATGCATAAGGACACTTGTCACATGGGGATAAGATGACAGAGTTAACTTTGAACCCTTTGGGGATGTCCTTTTCATCGTGTACATGAAAAGTATTTGTTTCTGAAACACTTCTCTTGTCATTTCTTGAGATGTCGTCAAGTCCAAGAAAAGACGAACATGCCTTTATATGTAGGAATGTCTCTTTCAAGGACAAGGTAGATGTGATATCGTCAGAATGGTTGGTGCAAGCATATCTTAAGGTTGAATTGTCGATGGTCAAGATGATCATTAGCAAATCTTATAAATCGGCAGCTGATATGCTTGGTGCTAAAAATCGGAAGGTGCATACCGATCCACTTCAATATTTGCACGTCCTTTGATATCAGCTTCTCTTCGAGTTGTTGAACTTCTTGAGCCATTTACCAAGCTCTTTGTACTCAAAAGATTTCTAAGTATAAGTCCTAAGATTAGAGAAATAGAGTCATTAACAAATCATCAATGACCCAACATCTTTCATAAGTAATCATTTTTGTGTTTATATTCATCCGATGATGAAATTTATCCAATAAACACTTACCAAATAAATATTTAGTAAACGGTCCCCGGTATACTTTAAAATTATTTCATTTTCCTACCCTTTTGATGACACAAATTCCTTTATTTTCCTTCCTTTTTTAATGATTCTTTAAAGATACCAAGGCTCAGAGTATTACAAAGAAATAAAAAATAAATGATTTTCTCTTATTTTAAGAAGCTGGAGTACCAAAGTCGACCCCAAGTTGCCGCCGGTGACTACTTAAACAAAAGCGGAGCTGACTATATTACAGGCGGCCACCATGGCAGCCGCGAGCATTCCGATCACCTCCCTACCATGGCATCACAGCGTCTCTCTTCCCTCTCCAACTACTTCGATAACGGTCAATAATGACCGATACTTTTCGAACCACCCAACAATTTTACTCATCAAACAATGTTCGAATTCGAAACAACTCAAGCAGATTCACGCCCAAATGCTCCGTAACGGCCTTTTCTCCGACCCCTTTTCAGCCAGTACTCTCGTCTCCGCCTTTTCTATGTCTTCTTTTCAAGGTGTTGATTATGCCCATAAACTGTTCGACCAAATTCCCAAACCAAATATCTACACCTGGAACGTGCTCATTCGCGCTTACTCGTCGAGTCAAGTACCTGTCCAAAGTCTCTTGATCTTTACACGGATGCTTTATCGGTGTGATCAAGTGTTACCCAACAAGTTCACTTACCCTTTTGTAATTAAAGCAGCAGCTGAACTTTTGGATATGAGAGTAGGAGAGGTTCTTCATGGAATGGCTGTTAAGATGTCACTTGGTTCAGATGTTTTTATACTTAACTCTCTTATACATTTTTATGCATCTTGCGGATGTTTGGATTCGGCATATAGAGTTTTCTTGAATATTCCTGTGAGGGATGTTGTTTCTTGGAATACCATTATCACAGGTTTTGCACAGGGTGATCGTCCTGATGAAGCAATCGAGTTGTTTCGTGAAATGCAAACTAGCTTAAAACCCGATAAAGTAACAATGATGAGTGTGTTGACTGCTTGTACGAAGAAGTTGGATTTGGAGATTGGCAGATGGGTGCATTCTAACATCGAACGAAATGGCATTGGAGGAAGCTTGAACTTGAACAATGCATTGCTTGATATGTATACGAAGTGTGGAAGCCTAGAGGATGCCAAGAAACTGTTCAATAAAATGCCTGAGAAAGATATAGTGTCATGGACAACTATGATAGTTGGGTATGCAAAATCAGGGAACTACATCACTGCCAGGAAGCATTTTGACACAATGCCTAATCAAGATATAGCTGCATGGAACGCCTTAATTTCGGCTTATGAGCAAAATGGTAACCCCAAGGAAGCTTTGGCTATTTTCAATGAGTTACAGGTGAGCAACGAACCAAAACCAGATGCTGTCACTTTTGTTAGTACTCTATCAGCATGCGCTCAAGTGGGAGCAATATATATGGGTGGGTGGATCCATGGGTATATCAAGAAACATGGAGTTAAGCTCAGTTGTCATCTTATAACTTCACTGATTGATATGTATTCAAAGTGTGGCGATCTCAATAAGGCGCTAGAGGTGTTCTATTCTGTTGATGATAAAGATGTGTTTATCTGGAGTGCTATGGTTGCTGGTCTTGCAATGCACGGCCATGGGAGAGATGCAATAGATTTGTTCAAGAAAATGCAAGAAGTTAATGTGAAACCTAATGCTGTTACTTTCACCAATTTGTTGTGTGCTTGTAGCCACACAGGCTTAGTGGAGGAAGGCAGGGATTTCTTCAAGAAAATGCAGCCTGTTTACGGAGTTGTCCCTGGAGTCAAGCACTATGCTTGTATGGTGGATATGCTTGGACGTGCAGGCCATTTGGATGAAGCTATAGAGTTAATAAAGGCGATGCCAATGCCTCCATTGGCTTCTGTTTGGGGAGCTCTGCTAGGAGCCTGCAAACTCCATGGAAATGTAGAGGTTGCTGAACAAGCTAGCAGCCATTTGCTTGAATTGGAACCATGGAATCATGGTGCATACGTGCTTATGTCTAATATATATGCAAAATCAGGAAAATGGGACAAGGTAGCTATGTTACGGAAGCGTATGAAATATATTGGACTAAAGAAAGAACCAGGTTGTAGCTCAATCGAGGTCGATGCTAGTTTTCATGAGTTTGTTGTGGGAGATAACACCCACCCACAATCCAAAAGGATATATGCAAAACTGAATGAGATTTCTGAGAAGTTAAAGTCAATGGGGTATGAGCCAAACAGGTCTCAAGTGCTTCAATGTGTTGAAGAAGAAGACATGCAAGAACAGGCACTGCATCTTCATAGTGAGAAGTTAGCCATTGCCTTTGGACTCATTAGTTTGAAACAAGCTCAACCAATTCGTATTATGAAGAATCTTCGTGTTTGTGGGGACTGCCATAATGTTGCTAAATTGATTTCGAAACTTTACAATAAAGAGATTTTTCTCAGAGATCGTTACAGATTCCACCATTTCAAAGCAGGGGACTGCTCTTGTAAAGACTACTGGTAAGTTTTAGAGAATTTGAACAAGACTTGATAATAGTTTGTATAATTCGAGCTTCCCATGCTTTTAAAGATGATTCTGCATGGCTAAATAGCATAGTTTGCTTGTAGAAGATGAATTCATAATCTAGACCCAAGATTCAAGATTGAGTCAACATATTTGTAATTAGAAGGTTACTATCTTGGTATATATTGCAGGTTTATAGAAACCAAGGAAAACAATAATCAGAATCCCATTTGGGACTCATGACCTTCTTGAGCAAGTTCCAACCACTTGGGTAATCATAGTTAGACAGGGATAATTTTGTTTCACAGTCTACAATTTTCATTTATGGTTACCATGAAGTTATAACGTGATTTTAGGGTAGAGATAAGGTCCGGGTACATCTTTGGTTGATTTTTCATTAAGTTCTACATAGATAAAGTTGTCTGAGTGGATTAATCTGTCTGTATATATTGGGAAAGTTTTTGTTTGAGAGAACTTTTTCATAGTCGGAAGAAGCGTGTTTTTTAATTTGGAGGAGTAGGTTTGGAAAAATTTGGGTTTCTGCATAAAGCTCCCTCCCATAAGCTTACTGAGTAAGTCACTACCAAACAGTCATGTATATTTGACCGAATAAGTTGTGCGTCTTATTAAGCTCATTAAGCTGCTAACAAACAAACAGGTCCTTAGTATCTTGCCCTCCACACCCCACCTATGACCTATGGGAACAATATACTGGGTCTATTTTGTTTGGTTTGGTTTGGCTTGGAGTCCGCAAAATGGAGAAAGGGTATAGATTAAAATTGTATAAAAGAAAGAAATGTTACCAATCGCGATAACACTTTAAGCATAGAGAATGGCTGCAGTTGGGCAACATCACTTTGCTATTTGTTTCCATGCAAATCCCACATTCAGCTTCTCTTTCAACACCCGCATCCGAGAGTTTCCCCTTCTCCGAACCGTCCTTTCTTGAATACCTCCTCAAGCATATCTCTTTCTGTTTCCTTTCCTTTAAATCCGTAATCCCGCTCTGGAGTTGCATTATTGAAGGAAATATAACAGCTGTTAACATAAACTCATAAGATTAAGACATTCTTGTTAAGTTACACAAACACGCACGTCTAGAAGCCAAATTTGAATCCCACTACTTTCCTGAATTCTCACCATAAAATTGTCTGATGCTTGCCATCAGCATACTGCATACATCTGTTTCAGCAAGCATTTTGTAGTTCTTATTTACTGTATCTATCCACGAATGGCTTAAAAGGAAACACAATCAAACCAATGAGATTCAAACCTCATCAAAATCCCATTTACCGATCAAAACACAATCAAACAAATCCCAAAACTCAGCCTCGAATCAACACTCAACACTCTGAACTCTTTATAGCTTCAAAATCATGATCGAAACGTAAAAATAGATGAAGATCATGAGAGATGCTTACAGAGTATTGGCATGATGTATATCAGCTTGAAGAGCTTTAATCGAATCCTTAACGTAAAAAAATTCACATTGTGAACTGAATACATATGAAGTAACCACATTGTTAAACAAATAAATGTTAGTCAATACATAAAATATAATATTTTGATCGGAAAAATCATGTGAAAACAAAACTTTAAGATAGATATGTATATATATCTTAAAAGGTTGGGATCTCACAAATTTTGGAGTTTTCCCTATATATATGTATACTAGGTTCTACTCCGTGTATTACACGAGGTATTTTAAACGAGAAGAACTCTGGACATTAACTCTGAAAGAAAACTCTGAACATTAACTCTGAAACACAAGAATTCAGGGTTCTATTGTTAGGCTGAAAAATAACTCTGGACTTAACTCTGAATAAGAGGAATTCATAGTTGTCTTCTAGGTCTAGAAAGTATGTACGAGAATAACTCTAAGTCACAAGAATTTTGACTTTTTATGACTCAGAAACGTAACTCTGAACTTCAACTCTGAAGAGGAGTTCAGAGTTGTATTCTAAGTCTGGGAATAAACTATATAACTAAGTTTAGAAAAGAACAATTCAGAGTTATGTTATAAGTCTGAGAAATAACCAATATCTGATGACTTCATGTTGGTGATTTGTATCACTAATGTCATTTAAGTGTAATGGGATTAAATTGTTGACCAATGTAATTATGATAAATATCGAACAGGTAAGGAAGGTGCGGAGTGCACACTTGTTTGAATTTATTTTGATTTAAACGACAGGGGTTCGAGGGGCAAGCGCCCCCGGTGGCGGGGTCCAAGTGGCAGAGCCCCTGGCTGGGGTCGAGAGTTAAATTCAGACTCAGACTTACAACTCTGAATTTTCCCAGAGTTACGTTGTAGGTCTAGAGGCCACTTCGGAGTTAAATTCAGACTTACAACTCTGAATTTTCCCAGAGTTATGTTGTAAGTCTGGAGGCCACTTCAGAGTTGAATTCAGACTTAATTTCAGAGTTAAATTCATACTTATAACTATGAATTTTCCCAAAGTTATGTTGTAAGTCTGGAGGGCACTTCAGAGTTAAATTCAGTTAAACCACGAAAACAGGAAAATAAACGTGTAGAGGGACATATGTCACTTAAGTAAACCTATTTGAACTGTAAGTGAAAATTGTGTTTGGATACATTATTTAGGCTGGAAAAATCAATAACTGCCGCACATAAACATGACGCGTGTCCCCAAGGTTATCTATTTATTAGGTATATAGATATATAGAAGGTTGGGTTCCAATGAGAAATGTAAGATGATATTTCCATCATTTGATAAAAATTTTAATTGAAAATCAACACTAATGAGATGTATTAAGATGCATCAGATCAATTTTCTTTTAAAGCGCAACCCACGGGTGGAAATGAGATTAAAAGCGATCAACGGTTCAGATATCTTATTGCGTTTCTCACACATAACTTCTCTCCTCATACGAACCTTCGGTTATACATATACTAAAAGAACAACTAAGGATTAATTTAATATGTAATTATCTGCTCATATAACTTCAATATTAGCTTGAGAATTTATCGTCACCGTGGAGGGGTCATCCTGAACACTAGTTATTTATTAATAAAAAGTGAGATTAAAAACCTCTATTGAAGGTTTTTATTCGTGATTTTCTTTTGTTACGGGTGTTTGGGATTGCTTATTTTAAAACAAGTTATGCTTTTAGGGGGTGTTTGGGATTGCTTATTTAAAACAATATATGTTTTTTTGTAAAAGTGCTTATTAACTTATGTGGTATCAAATCGGAGTTAAATAAAACAAGGTTAAAATTGTAAGCAGTTTTTCATAAGTCATGAATGATTAACTTATCAAAAACAACTTATTATCGGTTTGGCACCGGTATAAGCAATTTTTTTTCTTATCCAAACACCAGAAAACAGTTTATCACCGATGACAGACTGAAATAAGTTAAAAAACAGTTTTTATAAGCAATCCCAAACATCTCCTTATACAAAAGTCCAAATCAACTTATTATAAGTTAGAATGATTTAACTTCTTCAAAAACTTTTTATTACTGATTTAACACCGATATAAACTGTTTATTCAAATACGGATCGATAAATTATTTTTATATGCAATCCCAATCATCACGTTAAAATGATTATAAGAACTTCTTTTACAAATGAAAAATCGATTAGGTTTTTGTAAAGGCCAGGGTCTTATAGAAAAGCATGTCGGAAACTCACGTCGGAACCGCTGCCCTAATAATGGCCGATAACTGACCACGTCGTTCCCCGCCAGTTCCCAACACGTCAAATGTCTACATTACCCTTCTCTTCCTATGGTCGGTTCGCTTACCTTTCTCCACGCTTCAATTTCATTTGCACCCAACTGCAACACACACACACATACGTATAAGCTGTATATCCATCTCCCGGATCTTCGAAAATGCCGGTTCGAGCAAGACGAGCGTCGTTTCCGGAGGTGGTTATTGAGAGGGATACCGATACCGAGGAAAGTTCAGAGGAAGAAGAAGAAGAAGAGGTAGAAGACGACGCCGTTGAGTTGGATGATCCCGAAGAAGAAGAAGAAGTCGTAGAGGTAAAAGGTAAAGAAGATGAAGAAGGTTCTTCTGCTGCTGCCATTAACAATAAGAAAGGGAAATCACCTATTACTATCAGTCTTAAGAAAGTCTGTAAGGCAAGAACCCTCGATAACATACTCCATATTTACATGTTTTAGGGTTTTATGTTTCTTATAAGCTGTGTATTTATTTAGGTCTGTAAGAAAACGGGTCATCAAGCAGGGTTTCAAGGAGCTACTTACATCGATTGCCCTATGAAACCATGTTTTCTCTGCAAATTGCCTGGTATTTTGCTTATTTGTTCATGGATCATTGGATTTGAAATTGAATTCGATTTCAGTCCCACTTTTTGCGAAATGGAAGGAAGTCTGGGAAACATAGGATTCAGAAATCCTGGGTTTTTGTTCCAAAATAGACCATTTGACTAGTCAATCTTTACTCTATAACCATCTTCTCTACTTATTGACCAACATAGCCGAGATCGCGTAAGTGTCACTTACGCAACCTGCATAGCCTATTTTTTAATATAATATTAAAAAATAGACATTACGCAAGTTCGGAAGTGCATGTCGACAAGTTATGTGACACACACTCCTCCGTGGACTAATTGCGTAAGTAAATGAGGTTTGGGAGCATGTGCCACATGGTTATGTATGTAGCACTTACCCAACAAACATAACATTTACATTTTTTGAAAATTATAATTAATAAAATATGTTATGAAGGTTGTATAAGTGCCATTTACATAATCTCGGGCTATGTTGGTCAATAAGTTAAAAATACGAGCTATAAAGTGGAGAGGGGGGGGGTTCAAATTGGCTAGTTACCCAACCCCACAAGGGTTATTGGTATTTAGCTGTATTTTATAGGATTTGTTTGTAATAATGTTTTAAAATATGTTTAAAACACCCGCTTTAATGATCAATTGAGAAAGGTAATTTAATTATTTCTATAAAATTTATAATTGTTTTTATAAATTATTTATAGAGGATGGAATTCAATTAATTTCAAATCCTTTCATGAAATTTAAATCCCGTCAAACCAAAACCAAACGGGCTCTTATTAGTTGATGATATTGATTTTGTTTTTGAATGGTGAAGGTCATACGACAGTTAATTGTCCACATCGAGCAGCAATTGAGTTTGGGGTTATTCCAGCTTCTCGTAAACGAACACATAACTCTTTGGATTATGTATTCGAACGTCAATTGCGGCATAGAGTTCCTTCGGTAAGCTTGTTGTTTGTTGCTGTACCAAAGAACTAGTTGTAATGAATATGGTATTTGTTTAAGTTTTGTGTTACTGTTGCAACATTTCTTGTTTTTCACCCATTTGATATAACCATAAATGGGCTATTTGCTTAATAGTGTCCACCACCCCTTGCCTCCATCACCATCAGCGGCAGCGGCCAACATCGGCTACCACCGACCACCTTCGACCATCTCTACCATAATTGCCACCATCGGCTATCGGCTACCACTACCACTTCGGCAATTCCCACCTTTACCTCCATATCTACCATTGTCAGCAGCCTCCACCACCCACCATAACCACTGTCCAGCAACGGTTACCACCACCCATTGCCATCACCATCACCACTAGTGGCCACCTCCACCTCCACCACCTTAACCACCATCAGCTACTACTATCATCGTCCATCACCACTTTGACATCCAACACATGGGCCACCATCACCTCTACCGCCCCCACAACCACCACCTCCACTTCCATATCGACCACTATTAGCCGCCACTACCACGTCCTCCACAACCACCGTCAGCCACTGGCCACCACCGCCTCTACCACTATCACCACCACCACTACCACTGCCTCCACTTCCCCACCAACCATAGATAACCACCATATAAAATCATTAAGCAACATTTTAGGGGAACTTGTCAAACCCTGTCCTGTCCGGTTCTAGTTGTTCCAAACACCATATAGACAACTTGTCATGTCCAGTCTTGTTCTGTTCTCTTTGTCAGTTCTGTCCAGTTTGCATACCAAACCCTACCTATACAACTCGAAACTTTGAGCAATCTGTACTCGTCTAGCCCCTCTCGACACTTTGTTATAATTTCTGCCCGTTTAGCCTCCTCTGTTGGAGGGGGTGTGTTAGAGTCCTACATCGGCTAGACTTGGACCATTTTACCTCTATATACGTGAACCCTCTTCTTTCCTGAATGGCTTTTTCGGAGAGCAACCTAATGGGGTTACACATATTCTAACAGTATTATATCTAAGTTTTTGAAGTACCCTTAGTGTAGATGTTTGCCTCTAGTGCTGCCCCAAGAGGGGGGTCTTCATGGAAACAACCTCCCTACGGACCTTATCCCTTGGGGTAGAGGCAGGTCTGCATACATTCAACCCTACCTCTCTGTGGATATACTAGGCTTGTTTGATTTGGTTTATCATGTAGATGTTTGAGGTAAGCCTGAATAAGAAATAAAGTGGCATTTGGTGAAAGGTTTTCAGTCTTCTGTTGGGTCTTTTTTACTTATGTGTCAATTTATTATCATCCTAGTTGATTAAAGAGGAAGGCCATGGTTCACTTTTCTCATCCGTTCTTTCTTTGTTTTCATGTTTGCAAAATTCTTCACAATAGATAAAACCAGCATTTGTGATCCCAGATGAAGTAAAGTGTGCAGTGATCAGATACCATAGCAGACGAATAACATGCTTGGAATTCCATCCAACTAATAACAATATTCTCTTATCGGGGGACAAGGTTAGACTCTACATTTATATTGTTCTTATACGGCAAAATTAAATATAAGTTAATCGTTCTTATTCTTATTTCTAAGTTTTTATCTCATTAAAGAAAGGACAACTAGGAGTTTGGGACTTCAGCAAGGTGTATGAGAAGACTGTATATGGAAACATACATAGCTGCTTACTCAATAATATGAAGTAAGTTCATACTTGATCGTAAAGCTGCGTGTATCTGGTGATGAAAGTGTAGTATTGCTCATGGAAGGTGTTATATATATAACGTGCAGGTTTAGTCCAGCAAATGATGGAACAATATATGCAGCATCTTCAGATGGAACCGTCAGTTGCACCGACTTGGAGACTGGTTTGTCAACGTCGTTGATGGACCTCAATCCTAATGGGTGGCAGGTACGCATTTAACGATCTTCTAATTTTTTTGGTGTGAGCATTCATTTGGTGCGCGTTTGATATGCTGTACAGGACAACACAAAAACTTATTCGTCCCGCGTTTGGTAGTGAGCAAGATTAGATAGGGACAGGACCTGAGTGGGACATAAGTGCATTTTTTCTGTCCTACAAAATAGGTGGAACAAAGATTAGGGATATGAGACAAGATTGGTAAATTACTAAACTACTCATGTCAAATTAAAACCCTAAAACCTTTGACAACATTCTCATAATATGTAGGATTCAACAAGAATAATTGTCTTCCATCTATTGAAACAACCTCTCTACCTCTTGGGATTGAGGAAAAGTGTGCGTACATTCTACCTTTATGACCCTACCCTACCACCGAGTGGGATTTAGAGGTCGTTTACCAAACACTTACTGGCAAAAGAAATTCCCCTCACTTTATCATGTAACGTTTTCAGCCATCAAAAGAGTCTAAAACCCGTTAAGCGCGTAAGAGTCTTAAACCCGGTAAGTGCTTAGCGGGTAAGAGTCGTGGTTCTTGTTATGCCTCTTACCAGGTAATATTCTTGGTCCTTGTCATCCTAGAGTTCAGGCGCTAGCATTCTGTGGCTAGGCTTAGAGCTTGTTTGTTGGGAGCTTAATGAGCTTAATGGAACTTGCACCTTATTTGGTCAGCTATACATGACTATTTGGTAGTGGCTTAATGATACAGAAAGTGACTTATTCAGTAAGCTTCTAGAGATGAGCTTTATGCAGAAAGCCAAGTTTTTTCAAACCGGACCCCTCCCAATTAAAAAGCTCAATTCATTCCATATATGAAAAACCTCTCCCAAACAAAAACCTTTCAGATTTATACAGACAAATTATCTAAAATTACAACCTTATCCATACATGACTTAATGGAAAACCACCAAACAACCCCTTAGTCTCAAACGGCCGCAATTTTCCAGGATGTAGTTTAGGAAATTGCCTAGGTGGACCTTTCCAAAAAAATATTGGTAAGCTCTTACCCTATAAGCATTTAGTAAACAGCCCCTTACTGTGTTTGTTTGGTTTGGAAGCATGATCTTGTTTTCTTTATTAACATTTGATGGCATACATAGGGAGGTAACAGTTGGAGAATGCTGTATGGTATGGACTTGAATGCAGAGAAAGGTCTTGTGCTAGTTGCGGATAATTTTGGATTCGTTCACTTGTACGTTGCTCTCTTCTTTATTCCTGATGATTGTTGTGTACTTGGCTTAACATTGTCGGACTAAAATTAGAGTAGATTGATGCAAAAGCAACTGGCAATGTTTCAGTAGGACCGTTTAATATTTTGTCTCTTTATTTTACTTGCAGGGTGGATGTACGATCCAATTCTAAAAAAGGAGATTCGATTCTGATCCATAAGAAAGGGACTAAAGTTGTGGGACTACACTGCAACCCTGTTCAACCAGATCTTCTATTAAGTTGTGGAAATGATCACTTTGTAAACTTCCTTACCTATTTTTGGTCATTGTCGTATTCTTTGTTACATGTTGGTTATTTTTTATTCCTTCAGTATTTATATGATTATGGTTCTTTCAGGCTCGTATATGGGACATTCGCCGCTTAGAAGCTGAATCTTTTCTTCACGGGCTTCCCCACACACGGGTGGTTAACTCTGCTTATTTTTCTCCTCTAAGTGGGAGCAAAATAGTTACCACATCAATAGATAATCGAATTCGTGTGTGGGACTCTATCTTTGGCAACTTGGATGCCCCGAGTCGGGAAATTGTGCACAGTCATGATTTTAATCGGCACTTGACTCCCTTTCGAGCGGAATGGGACCCAAAGGTGGTGCTTTATTTTCTTTCATTTTCTATTTTTTTTATCTCACCATAAAAATAAGGGCAAAGTGCATCAAAATGTAAGAGCATCTCCAACAGTTTCTCTCTAATGTCTCTAAAATAAATTACAATAAACTCAACAGATTCTCTATTTTAGAGATTTTATCATTAATTATAGTATTTAAATTTCTATAATTTTTTATCCCAATACATTTTTTTAAAATATATATTGATTCAACCCTCATTGGTGGGAAGTTATGTCAATAACACCAAAAGGATATTAAATGAATGCGGACTTTCTTACTTTTCGTGGAGGATTAGACCCAGTAACCGGAGGTCTATGGCTAACCGATACTGCACACCGTAGTTTCCACCGCCTGTCCAAAGTTGGGGTTGTGGGTGAGCAATTGAATAAAAAACTTATTTCTCTCTCTTCTCGTTGGAATTATAGAGAGTTCTTTATATTTGGAGTTTTCTCCATGATTCTTTATTTTCGAGAATGAGATAGGGAGCATTATAGAGGATAAAAGTTTGATTTTCTCTGTTATAGAGAAGCTGTTGGAGATGCTCTAACAAAGTTTGGTTCGGTTCTATTTAGTGTAACGAACAATATTTTTTCTCAATCGATGTAATAAAGTTTCAAAATATCATATTTTGTAATCATTTTGACCAATAACATTCTCATGTTGTAACGTTTGATGACATGGATACCCGCTCACGAAAAGTTTACGGTGAAGTGGACGATAAACTTACATTTATGTCATCAAATATTACAAGATTAACATGTTCGGTCAAAATAGGTAAAAGCTTAGGAAATTTTGAAACTTTGTTACATTTATTGAGAAAAAAAATCTTTTTTGTATTAAATAGGAACTAGAGCAAACTCTGTTACATTGCCCTAAAAATAAGCAGATCTAATGAGGACGGTATTTTACACAGGATCCATCGGAGTCCCTTGTGGTTGTTGGGCGATACATCAGTGAAAACTACAATGGAGCTGCCTTGCATCCTATTGATTTTATAGACATCAGCACCGGTCAACTAGTTGCTGAGGTCATGGATCCAAACATAACTACGATCAGTCCTGTGAACAAATTGCATCCACGAGATGATGTCTTGGCATCTGGTAGTTCGAGGTTTGGTCCTTTGCCTATCTTTAGCGTCACTTTCTACTTTTTCCTTTTGGAATTAGATATTTTCTGGAATTGATTAGGAGGCTTATGAATAGCTAGTTATTAAAAACTTAGTCTACTAGTATAACGTTTTTCAATTAGCAAGAGCGATGATAGGCATGTCTAGTGGTGTATTTGAGCTTAAGCTGAGCCATGCGCAAGCTTGATCAGCCCCATGAAAATTTTGGAAGAGATAAGGCTTTGCTATGGCTTAAGCATGCATTACTTATGGTATATGCTCAATAGGACTGTAAGAGACCCACGTCGGCTAGACTTGAAAGAGTAACCTAATGGAGGTTACATGTATTCTCACATGGTATAAGAGCCAATGTCTACCACTCTAAGGACTCAACAGTCAGGGGGGAAAACTATACTCAGTGTTTCCTCCTCTTGTCACTATGGGACAATCTGTGCCCGTCTAGCCTAATGAAACTCTTGCCCTTTTAGGTCACTGTTCATTTGGAGGCCCAAGGAGAAGTTGGAGATGGTGCAAGAGAAGGAGAGAAAAATCGTAGTTTGTGATAGAAAGAATAGCAAGAAGTTTGGACATGGAAGTGACGACGACGATGATTCCGGGGATGATGATTTTTCGAGTAAAAAAGGTAAGAGCTTAAAGTCGAAATCCAGAAAACCCAATTTAGCGATAGCTTCATGCAGCAAGAAGAAGAAGAAATCCTAAAAGCCAAGGTTGTCTGTATGTATGTCAATAGTGCTTAATCTTGTTTTGTTTTTTGGGGGGATGTAGATTGATATAATGGCTTTTGGGATTTTGTAGCATTCTATGCTCATTGTAGATATGTCTTGCCATAGTTTTGTGAAATTGTTGTATGGCAGAAGTTACTCCCACTTACAGAACTTACTTGGTTAATTAAAACTGAAATTAGTTAAGATAAACAAATTAGTTAAGGATAAAGTTGTCATTGGTGAATTAAAACTGAAACCAGTGTTTAAAAAGGCGGAATATGGCTCAAAATGCGTCTCTGTCGTTAAGAAATGGCTCATAGCGTTTCTTTTAAGTCGTGACTCGCGTCATGACGTCTTGAGGTGCACCATCGTATGCTGCGGCGCACGTTTTGTTTGTAATACGGGATTGTTTTTCAAAAAAAATATCTTTTGTGTTTTTACGCTTTTAAATTTAGATTTTACATTCTTATAGAACTAATCACATCACTCATAGTTTTACAAATTTATAAACATTACAGACTCACGGTTAAAATGAAAATTACTTCTATAAGTTCTACTTTAAATATTTAATCAAAAACCTACTTTTATAATAATAATCTATATGATTTTTTTGTAACATGAATGTACATTTTTTTAATATTATTATCTGATTAAATAATATATAGAAAACACACACACACACATATATATAATTTTATATATGACATACAAAATTGTCGTTTTGAAAAACGTCGTGTCATAGCCGTCACATGTAAGACTTGAGGTTTGAACTCGTCGTCACGTCACACCTCACGCCTTTTTGAACCTTGTTTGAAACTGTATCACTTCTATTTTTGGACTTATTTTGAGACAAAAAAAGTATTATTCAATTTAAATTTAATATCAATACATTTTTTTATATTTTACGATTTTTAGATTAGTAAAAATTATTCAAGCATTATTCGTATTTATATTTTATTCAAATATAAATTTTGAAGTTTTAATATAAACAAAATTATATTAATTATCAAAGGGTCTTTATCCTAACAGTATCATAGATTTTGACTTTTTAGAAGGTTAAAGAGTTCAAACTTCACCAATTTTGATGACATTGATCAATGGATGGTTCGAGGTGATGCTTTTTAGTTGGTGCCTCCATGGTATGTCTTTTCTATGACTACATATCACCACATGCTGTAAATAATCTTTGACGAGAGCAGGGGCACATATACATAGAAGCATACGGTGGTTCGTGTAACCACTTTATGGTCCTGTTACAATGAAAAATATTACATTCTGAAAGGGTATATCACTGTAACATGTTCTTGAGTACCTTATATTTCTTGAAATTGAACTAATGACAGTAGTTTGTTGTGGCAGAGTTGGTGTGCGTTTTGTTGTTAAGTATCCCTTTTGGATGGGTGCGGGCTCGAAATCTGTGTTTTCCAAAAAAAAAATGTTTTATAGTTTATAATATTTTGGGTTTTTCACTAGCATTTGTTTTTTGTTTGGAAAAACTGGCAATGAAAAGACGTGAGAATACTGAACACATGACTTTTTCTTATTAAGACAAGAACAAACTAACATACATCTAATGATTATGTGAAAAAGTTTTATACTGCTATTTCTTATAGTAAAACGTTACCACTGCTTAAGAAATTCGCGGTCCACCTATAGATCGGAGACTTATCAGTGTCGCAACATCACTAGCCATTGATTTGTGAGTTTAGTTCAGTTTATGGTTGGTTTCCATATAAGTTTTGTAACAAAGGTCACATGGGTGTTCGTAGATTGTTTTTTTGAAGCATATAATATTTATATACGACAAATGAAATAAATAAATTCATACACCCTCCTCATCTTTAATGAGTTTTGAACCCTTAGGTGGCGTTTGTTTTTTAAGATGAGCTGAAGTCTGAAGTCTGATTTCGCTTCTGATTTTTAAAAGGTGGTGCTGAAGTCTGAAGTCTGATTTCACTTCTGATTTTTAAAAGGTGGTGCTGAAATCTGAATCAGTCAGACTGTTTGTTTTTACGTCTGAAAACTGGATCAGTTAGACTATTTGTTTTTACTTCTGAAATCTGAATCAATATAAACACGAACAAAGTCTCAGAACAACTAGAATCAATATTCATTTTGCATTAATTGTATTGTCATCATCCCCTTGCTCATTGGTTTGATCATACTCAAAAAATAACTCATATATAGGAGAAAAGAGCTAGAAAAAGAGAGGTATCAAACCAATAATAAGATGAATATATAGATTGATAAAATTTCTTTCTGAAACATATGAAAATAGTTTTCCTAAAGAACAAACCCTTGTTTACAGATAAGAGAGGCAGTTTGCAAAAACTAAACAAGTAAGGCCATCTTCATCAGCATGATAATGGTCTGATGAATCAGCACACACAAAACCAAAAAACAAAAAGCACTTTAGCTCTCATCTTCCTCCTCAGCTTCTCCTCTTCTTTGCTCGAAACAACAAAACAATACACCAAAAACAGAGTGATTTCACATATCATTTTTGAGACACAATGAGAGATTGAAACAAAGATGTAAAGGAGAAAACATAACAATATGAACACTATAACATTCATCATTGTTACTACCCAACAATGATGCTCAACAAAACTTTGTTAATAGAACGCAAAATTAAATAGAAATCATGCTTATATGTATTAGAACAACTCTTATATGTTTTGAACATAGAACTCATGCTTCCTGTTGTGGGTTCACAGAGAGATCGACAGGCAGAAGACCTATTACCTTTCTTGAGATATCGAGAGGAAGAAGAAGAGATTGGGATCCGGAGCTTGAGGTGTTTTAGATCGTGAGCTGAGACGAGACCTGGAGGAGGCTTCTGAATTTGAGAGGCGGGAATGAAATCGAGATCGGGAGCAAGATAGGGAGGAGGCGTCTGAAAGTAATTTCAAAGTTACATTTTTCACTTAAAATTCAGCTGATTTTAAGCTCTTAATTTGAAGGAAAAAAAACAGCATGAAATGGTATATGTCTGATCGAATCAGACTTCAGATGTAATTAAGAGGTGAATGTTGAAAAACAAACAGGCCCTTAACCTTTTAGAAAGTCAAAGACTTACATACCGTTAAGTAAAATAAAATTTTGATGGTATTTGTAGATTTTGATGACAAACTTATGATCAATATAATATAGTTTAATAGAAGCTCAAAAATTATACAACAAAGGCTTATATTTTTTATATTTTAATTGTTACATGATATTGATAGATATGTATAATGAAAGAGGATTGTGCCACGTGTCTAGTTAATAAGTTGAGGTAGTTATAGTTAGTTTTGGTGGCGGTTACATTTGTGCATGAGCTATATTTCGTCACGTGTAATAGATACAAAAGTAAAATGAACTTCCAACAAAAGTCAAATGTCAAAAATACAAGGGGGTAAAACATAATTAGAGTATAATCAAAGGGTCTAATTGGATTTTATCGATCACCCATCTCCCGAATCCCGACTATAAGAAGACCGGAATCCCCTTATCCTGTTCTCAGAAACCATCAAATTTCCGACGGTTTTACAAAAAATCTCGTTTGATTTCATGAATTTCGATCTTCTTCCTTCCAAATCCCATCCACCACCTGTTCCAGAGATCTTTACCTTCCCTGAAGCATCAAAAATGGCCGAAGACGAAAGCGGCGTACTGACGGTCTACGGCGTCGCCGGCCCACTCGCCCAAATCGATAAAACAATCTTCTCCGGCAAGGCTGGTCGTGCCAAGATGTTCCGTGGTGGCGTCATCATCGACGTCGTCACGCCTGATCAAGCTCGCATCGCAGAAGAAGCCGGTGCCTGCGCCGTCATGGTTCTGGAGAACTTCGCCGCCGACATCCGTACCCTACGCATCGTATCTCGCATGTCCGATCCCAAAATCATCAAAGATATCAAGGAAGCAGTCAACATTCCCGTTTTCGCCAAGATCCGTATCGGCCACTTCGTCGAAGCCCAAATCCTTGATCAAATCGGCGTCCATTCCATCGACGAATCAGAGGTTTTAACCCCCGCCGACCCGGAATACCACATTAACAAACTCATTATCGAGACCCCATTCATTTGCGGCTGTAAAAACCTCAGCGAGGCCTTGAGTCGCATACGCGAAGGCGCCGTCATGATCCGAACGAAAGGAGAGGCCGGCAACGGGAACATAATGGAGGCCGTACGCCAAATCCGATCGATTACGGGCGATATTCGTAGACTAAGCTACATGAATGACACCGAGCTTGATGCATTTTCGAGGAGCATCTTTGCACCTTACGAATTGTTGAAGAAGATAAAGGAACTAGGGAGGTTGCCGGTGGTTCAGTTCGGTGCCGGAGGTATTGCAACTCCGGCAGACGCAGCGATGATGATGCAGTTAGGGTGTGATGGGATTATCGTTGGATCGGGCATTTTCAAGACTCAAGATCCGGGTAAGACAGCTAAAGCGATTGTTCAAGCTGCAAAACATTACAATGATCCAGCTATTCTTGCGGAGGTGAGTTATGGATTAGGGTCAGCAATGGTAGGGATCATTCTTGACAACGATGTTGCTAGATTCGACTAATCGATCGTAATAATCATCTTACACCATAATACAACTGTTAATAATAGGATTTCGATCATGGGTATTCCATATACTTGTTGAACTAGCCAAATTTTGTTCATAGATGTGATTCTGTAGTATTCAGATTGTAGTTTTTGGTATTTTGATAACTAGGGTCTGTGTTCTTGAATAAGAGGAAACCCCAGTTGAGTTGCTTTCGACTGTTCATTTGCTTTTTTGTTATGGGTTTCTACTTTGATTGCTAAATGATTTTATGATGCATGGAGTTTGAAGAGAATCCAATGATGTTGTTGAATCTTTATCTGCAAATGTTTTCCTTGTTGCCATGGTATCAAGAAGAAGGAATGAGAAAGGATATGATATATGCAGCACCCTTGAAATTTGGACCAAAATGAAAAGATAATTTCAAGATAGGGATTCAAAAAGGGAAGTTAGAAAATTCGAGGGCTAATGAATCATCACTAAAAAGGGCATGGAATCAAATAGAAGTGTTGTTTGGTACGTTTTAAAGTGTTGCGGATAAAATGGTGTTTTGTATACTTTTGGATTCACGTATCGAGATGTCATACACTCATAGAAATTAATAAAAGGTGTGTTTGTAAAAACTAGACTGGTATGTGTTGGCTAAACCTCATTTAAACCATTTCATGAGTATTGATTAACCACACCATACGAGGAGAAATGAGAATTCACTCGGTCAAAACTATTTGTGACCATGTTCATATGATTGTGGTGTTTAATTGTGTGTGAAGAGTTATGATATGTGTTCATAAAAGCAACTTGAAATGACATGAACTGCTATTTCACACACACACACACAGACATATATATATATATATATACAAAGAATCGTGTGAGAATATAAGCTAAGATGAGAAGAATAAGAAGAGATTTGGATCAATAATCGCTTTTAATCTCAAACCAACATATGAATTGGTTTTAGAAGAGAATTGATCCATTGCTTATGGTTAGTGTCGATTTAGTGAAACTATTCAATTATGATTCATCCAAATATAAAGATCTCTTCTTATCCTTCTCAAAATAACTCTCATTCTCAAAATAACTCTCATTGCCACATGTCTAGTTACTTGACATGATTATAGTTAGTTGGGACGGTGAGATAGTGTTGTCCATTTAATATAAATGTCAACAAATTTCAAATTATCAAAATATAAGGGAGTAAAAAGTAGTTAGATTGTAATCAAAGGGTCTAAATGGATATTATCCCGGCTGTTCCCGCTTTTCTTTTCTTTTCTTTCAAACTCATGTTAAACTGAACGTGGGTACCAATGTTCCCATTTGAGTCCATGCTCTTTTTATTAATGACTCATTAGCCCTTCAATTTCCTAACTTGCCTTTTTAATCCCTATCTTGAACTTGTCTTCGTCATTTTGGTCCAAATTCTAAGGGTTCTTTCTCATTCCTTCCTTCTTGATACCTCATACCATGGATGCTACGAGTTTTATATTATCAAAGTAGAAACCCGTAACAGAAAAGCAGAAACAGTACGTAACAAGAAACATAAGCAACTCAACTGGTTTAACAATGGCAGCTTCTTATCAAGAACTAAAACCCTAGTCATCAAGATACCAAAAACTACAACAGAATCATATCCATGAACAAAACTTGAGTTGTTCAACAACACCTATGAAAGACCCATGATCAAAATCCTATTATTAACAGTTCGTTTATAGCGTAAGACGAACCATCCCTTCATCATACGTATCATCGACATCAGAAACCACCCCTTCCCATGCTTCCCCTAATCCAGAACTCACATCTGCAACAATAGCCGGATCATTATAATGTCTTGTAGCTTCAACAATCGCTCGAGCTCTCTCAACTGGGTCTTCACTCACGAAAATGCCAGATCCAACGATAACCCCATCACAGCCTAACCGCATTAGCAGCGCTGCATCAGCCGGAGTTGAAATGCCGCCGGCACCCAGCTGCACCGCCGGCAGCCTCCCTAGTTGCTTTGTTTGCATCACCAAATTGTAAGGTGCAAAGATGGAATTCGCAAATTCTAAAACCTCGTCGTTATCCATGTTTATTAGCTTTTGGATATCGCCAATAATGGATCGGATTTGCCGTACGGTCTCAACCACGTTCCCGGAGCCGGCATGGCCTTCCGTCCGAATCACGAGGGCGCCTTCGCGTATACGACGCAAGGCCTCGCCGAGGTTTTTACAGCCGCAGATGAATGGGGTTTGGAACTTGTGTTTGTCGATGTGACGTTCTTGATCGGCGGGGGTTAAAACCTCAGATTCGTCAATGAAATCGACGCCGATTTGTTGGAGGATTTGGGCTTCGACGAAGTGGCCGATACGGGCCTTGGCGAAAACTGGAATCTTGACTGAATCCTTGATAGTTTTGATGATTTTGGGATCGGACATGCGAGCTAAGGCGCATTCTTCATGGATGTCGGCGGCGAAGCTCTGCAAGACGGTGACGGCGAAGGCGCCGGCTTGTTCTGCGGTGCGAGCTTCACCAAGCGTCTCGACGTCCATGATGACGCAACCGCGGAACATCTTTAAACGCTCAATCTTGCCGGAGAAGGGTGGTTCCTTATAGACGAATGGTTTGGGTTCACCGCGAAGCGCCACCACACCGCATCTGGGTTTGGACATTTCTGATCCTTCAGGGAAGTAAATGAGATTTAGAGCAAAGAAGATTGAATTCAAGATTTTTGTAGTACCGTCGGAGATGGGGATTCCGGTGTTCTTATAACGGGGATTCGGGAGAGTGGTGATATTGTATTTAGACCCTTTGATTATAATCTAATTACTTTTTAGTCCCTTGTATTTTGGCATTTGAATTTGTTGCAAGTTTATTTTACATAAATTCGAATATTTTTTGCATCCATTACATGTAATCTTTTACCGCAAGTTTATAACATTTAATTTGAATTTAACATCAATACATATTTTTAATAGATATAAAAATCTTGAATGTGATATTTAATAGATATAAAAATCTTGAATTTGATATTTAATATTTATTTTTTATTGNCTTGCAAAATAATTATAGAAAAATAACTAAAATTCGTTTTTTTTTTCAAAAATTAATGCAATAAAATCTATTTTTCATTTCAAATCTCGTTTTTTTTTAAATTCAAATATCAAATTGAAGATTGTTTTTTAAAAAAAATCCAAATTACCACAATAAAAATTGTTTTCTACTAATGCAAAAAAAATCAATTGATGCAATAAATATTAAATATCACATTCAAGATTTTTAATAGATATAAAAATCTTGAATGTGATATTTAATAGATATAAAAATCTTGAATTTGATATTTAATATTTATTTTTTATTGTATCAATTAATTTTTTCTATTAAATTGATTTTTTTGCATTAGTAAAAAATAATTTTTATTGTGCTAATTTGGATTTTTTTTAGAAAAAAATCTTCAATTTGATATCTAAATTTTAAAAAAACGAGATTTGAAATGAAAAATAGATTTTATTGCATTAATTTCTAGAAAAAAACGAATTTTAGTTATTTTTCTATAATTATTTTGCAAGTTGGTTCCCTAATATAGAAATCAGGTGCAAGTTGTTTCCTCAAAATGACGATATTGAAAGTTGGTTCTCCAAAATAAGAATCAGGTACAAGTTGGTTTCCCAAAATGACGATTTTAAAATTTAGTTTCCCAAAATAAAAATCAGGTGAAAATTGGTTCCATTTTCATGCAATTTTTTCTTTGTTTAATACATAATATATGTAWATTGTGGAAGAGAATCGTGCCATGCACGTGTCAAGTTAATTAGTTGAGGTGGTTATAGTTAGTTTATAGCGGTTACAATTGCCATATCAAATATTCTCTTATGCATATATTTGATGTCGTCACCTATAATTTGATTGCAAACAATAAATTGTTGTAACAACTCATTTTTAAATAAAAAATAATGTTAAAAAAATTAGTTGAAAAACAAATCGTATAAAAAATTGTTCAGAATTTAAAATATTATAACATATTAAATCATTTTATTTAAACTAGAATGGTACTCGCACATGCATTAAGAATTATCAAGATTTTATTTTTATTTTATTTTTTTTGTCTCAATCGATGTTATTAATACAATTTTATGTGTTTTTGAGAAATTGATAATGTTTTTATTTTTGAACAAAATATAAATATGAAGATATTAAAATATTCAAAAAAGTATCAAACTAACTATTTAAATTTTTTCATTTTCTGTGTATTTCTATAATGCAACTTTTTATTTTTGGTTTAATAATATAATTTTTTATAAAGATAAGAATTAAGTATATGTTAGAACTTAATAATTATCCTAATTATATTTTAGATTTTTTATATTTAAAATGAGATATTTATCTTCTATTTGATTATTTTAGATTTTTTATATTCAAACATGAAGCATTAATAAGTTATATTTATGCATAATTTACGTGTAATCTTGAATTTCAAATAATATGTATCAATAAATAAGATTTAATGCATAAAAAACAATTTTTAAAAGGTTTTAACAAATACTTTATAATATAGTATAAGGGGTAACATGTAATTAGATTATAATCAAAGGGTCTAATTGGATTTTATTGATCACCGACCTCCGGCGAGAGTCACCCGAATCCCGGCTATAAGTAGACGGGAATCCCTCTTTGCCGTTCCCAGAAAATATCAATTTTCCAACGGAATTACAAAAAATTTCTCTTTCGATTTCTTGCATTCAATCCTTTTCGTTCTAAATCTCATTCACTACCTTTTACAGAGATCTTTACCTTCACAGAAAGATCAAAAATGGCCGAAGACGAAGGCGGCGAAGTGACGGTTTACGGCGTCGCCAGACCACTCACCGGAGTCGATCAAGTAATCTTCTCCGGCAAGGATGGTAGTACCAAGTTGTTCCGTGGTGGCGTCATCATCGACGTCGTCACGCCTGCTCAAGCTCGCATCGCAGAAGAGGCCGGCGCCGTCGCCGTCATGGTTCTGGAGAACTTCGCCGCTGACATCCGTAACAGACACATCGTATCTCGCATGTCCGATCCCCAAATCATTAAAGATATCAAGGAAGCAGTCAGCATTCCCGTTTTCGCCAAGACCCGTATCGGTCACTACGTCGAAGCCCAAATCCTTGAAGAAATCGGCGTCCATTCCATCGACGAATCAGAGGTTTTAACCACCGCTGATCCGGAATACCACATTCACAAACTCGATTTTGATGTCCCGTTCATTTGCGGCTGTAAAAACCTCCGCGAGGCGTTCAGCAGAATTCGCGAGGGCGCCGTCATTATCCGGACGAAAGGGGAGTCCGGCAACGGGAACATAATGGAGGCCGTACGCCAAATGCGATCGATTACGGGTGATATTCGTAGACTAAGCTTCATGGATGACTACGAGCTTGATGCATATTCGAGGCACATATGTGAACCTTACGAATTGGTGAAGAAGACAAAGGAACTAGGGAGGTTGCCGGTGGTTCATTTTGGTGCCGGAGGCATTGCAACTCCGGCAGACGCAGCGCTGATGATGCAGTTGGGGTGTGATGGGGTTATCGTTGGATCGGGCATTTTCAAGTCTCGAGATCCGGCTAAGACAGCTAAAGCGATTGTTCGTGCTGCTGAACATTGCAGCGATCCGACTATTCTTGCGGATGTGAGTTCTGGATTAGGGACAGCAATGGTAGGGACAGTTTCTAACCACCAGAATGTTGGTAGGTTCTAGTAATCATCTTACACCATAATAGAACTGTTAATAATAGGATTTTGATCATGGGTATTCTATATGCTTGTTGAACCACTCAAATTTTGTTCATAGATATGATTCAGTTGTGTTCAGATGGTAGTTTTTGGTATGTTGATAACTAGGGTTTGAGTTCTTGACAAGAAATCGCCATTGTTCTTGAATAAGAGGAAACCAGTTGAGTTGCTTATGTTTCTTCATTAGTGACTGTTAATTTGCTTTTCTGTTAACGGGTTTCTACTTTTATGACGCATTTTGGGAATGCAGTATAGAATCCAATGATGTTGTTGATTCTTTATTGATGAAATTAGATTTTAAAGACCTGCACTTGTGAATCTTGTTGCCATGCATCCATGGTATCAAGAAGAAGGGATGAGAGAGAATATGACACGTGTAACATTCTTGAAATTTGGACCAACATGAAAAGATAGTTTCAACATAGGGATTAAAAATGGGAAGTTAAAAAATTCGAGGGCTAATGAGTCATAACTAGAAAGGGCATGGACTCAAACGGGAAATTTTCTAAATCTTAAAACTTGGCCCATAAATAGTTAAAAATATTTTTGGGCTAATCCAATACGGGCTCTTATTTAAATTTAGTCAATTACCTTATTTATGTTTGTTTATGCTTTTAAGTCTGTTCATTTATGTTCGTTCGTTATTGTTTGTTTATGTTCGTTTAGCATCTTAACGAACGAACACGAACATGTCTAATTTTTAAATAAACAAACATAAACACCTAAAAATTTGTTCGTTTAATGTTCGTGTTCGTTCGTATGTTCGGTTAATAACTTAAATGAATGAATATAAACATGACCTTATTCGTGTTCATTCGGTTAGTTTACATGCCTAGTTATATTAGACTCGGTTACATGTTTTTGTAGAGACCTCTGATATTTTAAATTTTTTTATGTAATAAAATTATAATATAATATAATTAAGAAGAAAGGTGAAGACTCATTCCCTTGTGTTCAAAATTTATCCAAGCTTTGGATGGGGAACAGGAATCGTAAGTTTCATCTTAATTGGGATAGTTGGTCTTTCTCTCCTTACCTTGTTTAGTTTCTTAGCCCGTCTTTGGTTTGGGTTTTGCCTTGGTCTTTGTCTGGGGGTGTTTTGGTTTTGTTTCTTTTTGTTCTCGCTTGTTGTGATGGATTTTTGTATCTTCTTGTGTCTAGCTTTTTGCTGGATCTGTTGTTTAATATATTGGTTGGCTTGGTGAGGGTGATGGTCATGCCGAAGCTCTCTTCCTTGTCCTTCCTTTTTGCCTTTCAAAAAAAAATATAATAAATAAATTGACCTTTATAATTTTACTTTAGTGTTATGTTTTTTAAGGACCGACTTAATTATAGAAGTTTTAATTTAATAATTTTATCATATATTTTATTCTCTAATTCTTTATTCCTTCACTAATTTAACTATATGCTTCTTATGTTCCATAATAAATGTTCACAATAAAAATAACATCTAATTTTAATAATTTGTAAGTTGGCAAAATATTCATTTTGATGCATAACTTTAAATAAATGTCAGGTTTACGTTCAAAAGTCATGTTTAATATTTGATTAAAATCGTATTTATACAACTGACTCAACTTTAATTAGTTTTATGCATTAAACTTAGAAAATGAAACTCAAAACTGCCATATTTTTAAGCGATTTGGTGCTTATCTTAAAGCAGGATCACTGAACTCTTGAATTTACATATTGATATTATTGATGTAATATACATAAATTTATACAATATAGATTAATTAATATAATATATGATATTAATTTAATTTTAATATAGAATTAAACAAATAGCAAAATAATTCAAATGCCCCTAATTTAATAGAGTTTTTTTGAACGAAAGTTGGGGCAAATGACTAGATCCATAACAAAAATGAAACCATAAGGACGCTAGTAATGAATTTTAGGGTCCGGGAACCTTCTTCATAACCAAGATAAAATCACATGGACGAAATTTGTAACTTAGGGGCTTTTACCCAAATGTTTGTCCAATAAGTGCTTACGATAAGAGTCAACACTATAATTTATTGTAATGCGTAAGATTTTAGTGTATCAAAACATATCAGATACAACAATTTATCAGGTAAGCGCTCACCTAGGTAAGAGTTGTCATCTTCACTTACCGGGTAAGACTTTTCATCCTCATTAAAACGGGTTTGTAAAGTGATTTTAACATATATGTAATAAAAACGGGTTACAAGATAAGATTGATAATTTGTCGTGTTATTCTTTACATTTTATGGTCACGGAAAAAAACAAATCATGATACAACAGTTTGTTGCCTTTTATGTCGTTATATCACTTCTCTTACACACATAAATACATGATTACTAAATCAATACGCACAAAATGTAAGTTGGTAAGTCTTCTACGCCATCGTATCCCATATGTGGTCTATAACATTTATCGTATTTAAATTTCTGAACATAGACGAACACAAAGTTAGTTAGTTTGCTTTAGGTAGAAATATCACTTGTTTACATCCGTTCATATATTTGTCTTCGAAAACTAAATATTAAATATTATCAAGCATTATTATTACTCCAAATGCAATATTACATATATCAGTTTAGCTGCATGCATTAAATACTTTACAAATTTATGCTAACAAGATGTTAGATACGGTACCTGAACGAATAAATGCCATACCTAAAATGACATAATCAAGGAACTCGCTAGTCAAAAATATGGTACTTGAACTTTTTTTTTGTACACGTCGTTTTGTGTATAAGATTTAAAGAGATTAATCACATGCTCATGTAGTACTTAAAGGTATTAATCATTAAGTTAAGTTTTGAGCACAACTTGTGTTTAATTAATTTGAACAATCAGATTGGTCATCAGTTATAAACACATGACTGAACGATACATATATATATATATATATATATATATAAGCGAAACTTTTCAGATGTACAGTTTTATGTCATTTAAATAAAATACATTTGTTTTATCATTTGAATTAAACAATATATATAAATAAAATAATGAAGTAATTGGTTAAAAAGATGAATTTATTAAGCCATATACACAAATGACCATCTCAAATGCAAATCAATCTTTGTATTTCTTAAATGAAATATGTTGAATTTATTAAAACATCTTATTTTATTTTATACATGGGGATGTTTGGGATTGCTTATTTGAAACGACTTATGTTTTTTTATAAAAGTCCTTATCAACTTATTATACGTTAGAATAATTTAACTTCAAAAAAAAATATTACCGGTATGACACCAGTATAAGCTGTTTATCCAAACACTCAAAAGTACTTATTAATGACGCAACACTAAAATAAGTCAATAAGTTATTTCAAACACCAAATCCCACTATAAATCTCATCATTAGCCCAAACAAAATACATTATTGGGTGGAACTTTTTTGATATTAATGTATTTTTTTTTAAATTAAAAGTAATTACATTTGTATTCTTTTTCCTTGTTTTTTATGTCCAAATTCTACAATAGAAAATAAAGTTGTGTGCTTTTAAAAATAAAAACAATATCTAGAAAATATAAAAGAAAAATTATAATGTTAAACGTGAGCTAATTAAAAACTTAATCAATATTCTAATAGAAGCAAAAACTAAAGGGTCGTTTATCAAATACTTATTGAGTAAGTTTTTGTCTGCAATAGTCATCATCTTTTATTTACCTTATCGGAAAACGTTCTCGACTATCAAAATCGATTGTGCTAAGTGTCTTTTACCCGACAAGTCTTCCCATCACTTACTCGGTAAGATTTTTGGTCCTTGTTATGTCTTTCACCGAGTAAGATTCTCGATTCTTGTTATCCTCATTGGTAAAGGTAAGTGACATCCGATAAACGCTTACCTGGTAAGAGTTCGGTAAACGGCCCATAATTTAACTTTAGATTGCGATTCTCACTATTTTTTAGGTTTCACTTACAGAACATAAGTCTATTTCCATGATACTACAAACAGGAGGAGCAAAAATTGACTTGTTTTCTGGTTTGTTAGATTATACAGAATATTTATAATACCAGTTATTTCGGTTTCTTATTATATTCCACCGCTTATTGATTTCGGAATTACAATGATCATCGAAAATAAATGGTTGGTTAGGGGAATGAAACTCGTTTTTTGTTCTCCAACATATTATTTTTATTCGTTAACTTTAACCAACAATATCTTGATATACTAATCGATATGCAATAATGAAGTAGTAACTTTTAACTAACAATTATCTGATATAGTGATTGGTATGTAATAATGAGATAGTAACTTTAACCAACAATAACTTGATATGGTGATTGGTATACAACAATGAAATTTTTTAACCAACAATACAGTGATATGATGATTGACATGCAATAAGCAAATACTTATTTTGTCCTAAAATAAATGTCCATGATGAAAAAGACACAATTATAATAAATGTAACTATTACATTTTTATAAACTAAATGACAGTTTTACCCTTAATAATAAAGAGTATAACTAATTTATGTATTTAATAACTAAGGACATGATTGTAAAATAATGTGCAATTATTTTTTTAAAAATGAATATTTATATTGAGAAAACCTAAATATAAATTTAAACACAAAATAATAATAGCTTAAATATAGTGATTGGTACACGATGATAAAATGTAAAATGACCATTATTAATTAATGTGATTCATTTTATTTGGGTAATTTTCATTTAAATAAAATGAAAATTCACAATATAACCTGTAATTTCTCTTTCACTATATTTACCAACACCATTTTCTTTAAAATGTAACTCATTATCTTAAACTAAATACATATAAATTTATATGCAATAAATATAATTTTTTTAATTTCAATAATAAATTGCTTGCATTAAAAATACTTTTGATTTACTAATTTTATCAGGAAAACTGATTAAAATAATCAATCTTCTCAACTAAAGGGGTGTTTGGGATTTTTTTATAAAAACAACTTATTGACTTATTTTGGTATGACACCGGTAATAAGCATTTTTAATTGTTTGGATAAACGATTTATGTTTTATCCGGTAATAAGAAATTTTTAAAGAGTTAAACTATTCTGACTTATAATAAGTTAATAAGTGTTTTTGTAGAAAAACATAAGTTGTTTTAAATAAACAATCTCAAACATTTTCGAATTTCTATTTTAATCAAAGTTTATATAAATATAAGATTAGATTGAAAAAAATATTAAAAGGTGAATTTGGTTTCCAAAAATGGTTAATTAGATGATAAATTAGGAAGGGTAGACAACAAGGAGATTGAAAATAGGAAGGCGGGAAACTGATTCGTCAACCATTTCACGTTCATAAAAACCTCCATAACTACAATTACAAACAACCAGATCCATCTTATTTTCTATATAAAAAGAAGCCCCCACAGTTTCCATCCACACATACAAACCCTAAATTCTCTCTCCATCATCGTCCTTGTGTGAATTCAATGTGTATTTCAGTGCGCGTATGCTGCGCGTAGTCTTCAAGGTTTCTCATCAACTCTCTCTCTCTCTCTCTCTCTCTCTCTCTATATATATATATATATAATATACATCTACATGTATATATGTGCCTGCAAGATTCACGTTGCCTTTGCAAGTAAAGTACACAGTCTCTTTATCTCTCATCGTAACTATATCAAACAGATCTAGAGGAGGGAAGGAAGGTGAACGGAAGTGGAATGGGGAGTTACAAAGTGTGTTGTTGCTTTACTAGAAAGTTCAAAGTGACTGAAGCCGATCCGCCCTCTGATGTCAAAGAAGCGTTTGAAAAGTACTGCGATGGTGGGATTCATATGACTGCCGACCAACTGCGGCGGTTTATTGAGGAGTGCCAGAGCGGCGATGGAGAGGCAGTGTCGATTTCAGAGGCCGAGCGTCTAGTGGAGCAGGTCCTTCACAAAAGGCATCCCCTTGCGTTGTTTATTAACAGGAAGATTCTTACTTTAGAGGATTTTCATCATTACCTCTTCAACTCGGAGCTTAATCCCCCAATTAGATCTCAGGTATCTTCGAATATTCATGTTGAGTTTCCTAGTCAAAAAGTTTTGAATTGATATCAATTGTCATAAATATTTACTAATTACATTAAAGTTTGTAATAAGCCACATTCGTAACGAGTATTCATGTTGAATTGATAAAAAGTCCATCTTAGATTTCCCTTTTACGTATACCGGGTTTGATCTCAAAAGTCAACGGGATTGCTATATTGGAAACCGTCATACTGTTTTAATTGTTGTAGATGCTTGAGCGTTGTCTAAATTAGTTACAAATTTACGTTGATAGTGATGAGGAAGTCGGGGATATGGAAAGCTGAAAGTTAGGCTAGCACGTACCAACATTTGTATATTTGGTTCAAGATTAAGACAATTAGACAAACCAAGTAACCAACACTTGTGGCAAGATTGATTTTTCACTTCTGGTTCATCTTAAGTTATTGGAGAGCAATCGTGTATATTCTCCAAAGGTTTAAAGAATTCTCTTCAATATGGCATCGGAAGATGCAACACAAGCAATCTAATTTTGTCTGCAACGTTAATGGTGTCACTGAAAAGTAATCAGCTGCCTGGCTGTAAAGTTTTAAATTCATATATACGAATAATCCCGGCCTCCTGGAGTACTTTGTAACTTGTGCGCCCTCTTTTACTTTTCTGTTCATATTGGGCCTGTAATGGAGAAAGGAAATGAGGTATGCAGGATGTAGACTAGAAAAGTAAAACATCTATTTGTGCACCTAAAACGCTCCATGTTTCAAACAATAATCTGTATAATCTTGCTCTTGCAAGATCCATCAACAGCCATGCTTGTTATAATTATATAACTGATATATTTGCGAGGGGAGACAGCTTAGCTAGAAGTTGCAGACAACTGTTTTATATGTTTTTGCCATATTGACCTTCTCAGTTCTTCATATCTTCATTACAATATTCCCTGTATTTGTTTATTTGATAAGAAAGGAATTTGTTAAGGTACCTGATGTTTATGCTTGCCTTCCATTGTTAGGTTCACCAAGATATGACTGCTCCCTTATCCCATTATTTCATTTACACGGGCCACAATTCATACTTGACTGGAAACCAGTTAAGTAGCGATTGCAGTGAAGTGCCAATCATCAAGGCACTGAAACGAGGTGTGAGAGTAATTGAACTTGATTTATGGCCAAATTCGTCTAAAGATAATGTGCATGTTCTTCATGGAAGGTATGCAACTTATGTCCATACTTATTAGCAGCAAATTTTAACCATAAAGATAATGTGAATTTTTATCAAAACCATGTATTGGTACAAGCAGGACCCTGACAACTCCTGTAGAACTCATAAGGTGTTTGAAATCAATCAAAGAGCACGCCTTCGTGGCCTCTCCTTATCCAGTTGTTATAACACTTGAAGACCACCTTACACCTGATCTTCAAGCCAAGGTGGCTCAGGTGAATATGCTTCCTTTGTGAATTCTGACTCTATATTGTCTTATCATGTTTTTAATGCTTTCACCTATATTTTTTTCTAGATGGTTACGGAAACATTTGGGGAGATGCTATTTTGCCCTGAATCAGGGAAATTAAAAGAATTACCAACGCCTGAAAGCTTGAAGTATCGAATTTTAATTTCAACAAAGCCTCCAAAGGAGTACCTAGAAGCTGAAGAGGACCAGCGTACCAAATCACAGAGGGTTAAAGATGCTGATGATGATGATGTTTGGGGCGAAGAGCCCTCAAAGGCTATAGCATACAAAGACAAAAACGATAAGGTTTGCTGGGTCATGATATTCTTTACTTTTGAGTATGATTCTGTTCAACTCCCAAGATGCTTGTTTGTGTACTGAGTTACATGTGTTACTTGTCTGCAGGACGAAAGCGATGAAAGTGACCATGATCATGATACTGAAGAGTCAGAAGATCGTGGAAAGAAATCTGTTTCTTGTCCTGCATACAAGAGTTTGATTGCTATTCATGCTGGCAAACCCAAAGGTGGACTAGAGGAGGCACTCAAAGTCGAAAAGGATAAAGTTAGGCGTCTAAGTTTGTCGGAACAAGCACTGGAAAAGGCGGCAGAACGCCATCAACAGCATATAGTGAGGTATAGACTAGTTATTGCAAGGTAGAAGGAATATCACTTTAACATCAAGAGTGAGTGATAAATATCTTTAATTTTTATGTGTTCTTAGTTTTTCTTGAGGTCAAGTTTATGGCCCAGAGGCCCCAGACCTGATGATGCTTTTCTCATTCCAGGTTTACCCAGAAGAACATTCTCAGGATATATCCCAAAGGCACTCGTTTTACCTCCTCCAATTACAAGCCACTAATTGGTTGGCTACATGGAGCTCAGATGGTTGCATTTAACATGCAGGTGCGCATAATTTTTCTGTTTCCTAAACAAGAAAAGTATTTGATATCCCTAGTCTTTCTCAAAACAGAAAATGTCATTTATCAAATTTCTTTTCTTGAAACAGTGTGGCTGTATCGATTTAGTTTCTCACATGGTGTTCCACCTAGTTTTTGTAGATGTCAGAAAAGACCAAATTCGTTATATAATCGTTATATAACCTTCATTGAACAACTTTGAAAGGGAGTTGGCACTATGGAGGCTGTGGTTATGTGAAAAAACACGTAAATCATACTTAACCTATTGGGTCACATTGCTATGAAATTGACCGCTTTATGTTGCTAGAACCATGTTAGATCATGTTAGTATTAGTAAATACCATGAAACTGTGTAAACGTCAAATAGCCTAAATTCGACTTTTACATGCAGGGATATGGGAGATCACTCTGGTTGATGCATGGAATGTTCAGAGCCAATGGAGGCTGTGGTTATGTGAAAAAACCAGATTTTCTGATGACAACCGGACCAAATAATGAGGTGTTTGATCCCAAAGCAAAGCTTCAAGTGAAGAAAACTTTAAAGGTTACACCACTACCAGAAAAGATCTACCCTCTAGTATCTACTCCCTTGGAAAAATACTTCTCACATAATCATACATCATTTAACAGGTGAAAATTTATATGGGAGATGGATGGCATCTGGATTTCAAGCAAACTCATTTTGATACATACTCCCCACCAGATTTCTACACAAGGGTAATGATCGTTCAGTTTTACACATCATACAAGTTGTATTTGCATTTTAGCATGGAGCCATGAACTTTGATCCCGAAAGCCAAATCTCTCTAAACTCGTTGTTGGTTGTTACCCGTAAACAGGTGGGTATATCCGGAGCACCTGCGGACGAAATAATGAGAAAGACAAAGCCAAAGGAGGACAACTGGACACCTGTTTGGAATGAAGAGTTCAGCTTCCCATTAACACTTCCTGAAATAGCTTTACTTCGGATAGAAGTCCATGAATATGACATGTCCGAGAAAGATGATTTTGCGGGGCAAATTTGTCTTCCGGTTAGTGAATTGAGGCCCGGAATCCGTGCAGTTCCGCTGTGTAACCGCAAAGGAGATCCGTACACCGCATCAAGGCTACTAGTTCGGTTTGAGTTTGTGTAGAAGATCTCACTTGTGGTTTTTGTAGGACATTGTTTCAATCTTTGTATCTCAAAATAAGATGGTTGTATATATTTCTTGATATCCAAAACGTTATTTCAACTTTAATGGTATAAATGTAATAATCACAAAACTTAGAACAATTTGAAGCATGGAAGTTTATTAATTCATTTCATTTTTGGTACATTGATTTGAGTTTTACGACATTGAAAGCAAAAGATAAATATTTACGGTTATTTACTTTATCGTGTAACATTTTCGACAATTAAAACAGGTTTGTTGGTAAGCGTCTTAAACTCAATAAACGGTGGGTAAGAGTCTTTTCCTCAGTTACCGGGTAAAACTCTCGATCTTTGCCATACCTCTTATCATTAAGATCCTCAATTCTTCATGCTCAATTAGTAAGATAAAATACTATTGATCAGCGCTTACCTGGTAATGGTTTATTAAATGGTTCTAAATCAATATTAAACCAATTAGAAAGATTGTATACTCGTTTATGCGTTCCATCTAACAGTTGGTGCGCAATGACCATTCCACACACCAAGTCCATAAAAATAGTCTATGCCAGATTGCAAATATTAAAGGAGAAAACCCAACGCTAATCGACTGAAAAATACTGAAACAACTTCAGAATCAAGTATCAAGAGTGTTCAAAAATCCGACCAACCCGGCCAATCAAACCTAACTCAATGATAGAATCTATATATATATTAAAGAAGAAACCAAGCATAATGAGGTGGCACATTCTAATGCTTAGAACTTCTTTTATCTTTTTTCTCAATTTTTTGATTTTTTTAAATGTTGAATATAATAAAGACTTTTCTACCACTATACGAAGAATGTATAGTTCATAATTAATTGGGGGGTTTTTTGTAAATTTGTATACCCAAGTTTAACCTTCAACTCTTGATTTGCTTTTTCATTTTCTTTCTTTTATTTCTTAATGAAATTTGTTTTTCAAAGTTTCAATATAAACAAAATGAAATCCTACAAATTCTTTTACTGAGGGATGAAGAAGGTGAGAGTTGAAAAAGAATTCAAAAATTTTAAAAAGTATGTAGAAATTATATTCATTAAAAATATGATTTGTTATTACATATTTCTTTTTCAATATTGTTGGATTTGTTGTTATCATATATTATGTTTGTGTTTACGATTGGATTTGATATTTTGTAATCACAAGATAACCTCCAATTATTGATTTGCTTCTATTCATTTACTTTCTTTTATTTCTTAATGAAATTTGTTTTTCAGAGTTTCAATAATAAACAAAATGAAATCCTACAAATTCTTTTAGTGAGGGATGAAAGAGGTGAGAGTTGAAGAAGAATTCAAAGATTTTAAGAATTCAAAGATTTTAAAAGGTATGTAGAAATGTTATTCATCAAAAAATGTGATTTGTTATTACATATTTCTTTTTCAATATTGTTGGATTTGTTATAGATTATGCTTGTATTTATGATTGAATCATATAAATTCGAATAAGATTTTGATATTTTGTAATCACAAGATAACCTCCAACTATTGATTTGCTCTTTCATTTACTTTCTTTTATTCCTTAATAAAATTTATTTTTCGGAGTTTCAATAATAAACAAAATGAAATCCTACAAATTCTTTTAGTGAGGGATGAAAGAGGTGAGAGTTGAAGAAGAATTCAAAATTTTTAAAAGGTATGTCTATATATATATATACATATATATATACATATATATATATATATATATATATATATATTAAAGGAGAAACCAAAGTTGATGACTTAGCTTCTCTTAAAGGTTAGAAACTTATTTATCTTTTTTTTTCATTCATCTTCCTTTAATTTTTTTTCATTATTCATTTATGTTTGCATTTAACATAATCCTTTCATTTTCTCTAACTCTTTTTCATGAATTGTTCATCATTCAATCTATTTTTCTTCATCTTCATCACTTGATTTGTTTTTCATTTCATAAATTGTTAGTTTTCAACAAATATATTTTCAAGTTTATTTCGAGAAGACTAATTCAAGTATGCGTTCCTTTTTATTTTTGTTGGGATTTTAGAATTTTGTTTTTTTTACTTTTCTCTTCTATAATTGTCATAAGTTTTCTCAATGAAACAGAGTGTTTGTTCTTGACAACATTTTTAGAGTTTTCATGGCAAYAGTGGTTCGATTAATGATCTGATGATGGAATCTTGAAAGTACTACCAACCATGATGTAGCATTAACAAACTTCAACATGTTTTTGTAATGGTTATCTTTTTTCAAGTATACTTTGAGAAAATAATGTGTATGCATTTCTTTTGACTTTTGTTGAGATTTTAAAGTTTTTTTTTTTTGTTATAATTTTTTATGTAGCATCACCAAACTTCAATATGTCCTTTTTTAATGGTTACATTTTTTTTCCAGGTTATTTCGAGACGATTAATCCGAGTATACAATTCTTTTTAATTTTGTTGGGATTTTAGAGATTTTTTTAACTAATGTCTGAGGTGGCCTCTTCTAAAGACTCCTCATTTTTCTTTTTCTCTTTCATTCTCTCAATATCCACTACTATATTTTTTTGTCAATTTATGTTTTTTTTCTTAAATGTTTGCATTCAACTCCAAACCATCCATCTCCTTCTATATTAATTCTAATGACATAACTTCAAAACATTCATTTTTTCCAATCAATAATTTTTATATATATATATATATATATATATATATATAAATATATAAACTATTTATTCATTTTCATCTCTCACACCCTCTCAAATTTTATCTCAATCCTATACATCTCTAAATTTATTTTCTTTCTCTTTGGTTTTTCTTCTATTTTACTATTAATAATATTCATAGTTTTTTTTCACTTCTCCCGTAATTTTATGTATGTTTGTATCGTTATTTAGATTGCATTATAGTTTTTATGCATTATGTCATGAAGATTTGAAGAAGTCTTTAAGTTCAATATTTGATTTTTTGGTTGTAATATAAGGTAATAATTTTATATBGATTTGTTTCATGATTTTGTTTGCATTATAATTTTATTTATGTTTGTATCGTGATTTTTGTTTGCAATATAACTCTTATGTTTTAGGTGAAGATTTAAAATATTCAAGTTCACTATGTAATTTTTACTTATGTTGAACGTTTTTTGGTTTGCAGGTTTCCGAGTTCTTTAACATTTATATATAAAATTTGAAGTTTTCAAGTTTGGGTTGTGGGAATTTATGAATATRWTAATTTAGAGTGTATTAGAATGCTACGTATGTTTGTATCAARATTTTGATTGGAYTATATTTTTAAGTATGTTMTTATCGTAAGTTTAGTCGTATTATAATTTTATGTATGTTCATGTTGTGATTTTGATTGCAATATAATTTTATCTATTGGGTTATAAAGATTTGAAGTCTTTAAGTTTGGTATGTAACTTTATACATATCGTATGGTTGGTTTATTCACTATTGTATTTTTGAAGTTAAGGTGTGTGTTGAGGATGAAAAATGGTACATGTACATCATCATTTGAAGGAGACATATATTTATGTGGAGTATTTTTTATTCTTGAGTTTATATCAGATTCCTTAATATCCCCGTCGTTATTATTACTCATTTTATTTAGTTTTACAACTTTATTACTAAACAAATCTCTCTCTCAATATATATATATATACACACGTGTGTGTATGTGTGTATATATTAAAATTTCACTTACTATATTTTATTTAATTTTTTCGAATTATTTGAATACGATTTGTTGATGATTCTATTAGCAATTAATATATACATTTATATAGACAATCCTCAAATTATTAATCAAAGTACTCATATTACCGCGCAACGCACGGTTCCCATACTAGTTATACATTAAAGTAGCTCCGGCCACACCTTATAGAATGAGGCATTGTAACATGCAAGTTAAGCATTAGAGTGGAGCCATGGGGGTTAATGCGATGACGATCACAAACCTTGACGCCATAATGAGTCCATGACGAGTTATTTAGAATCATGGATTTAGTATAATTGTTAAGTCTCTATTAACGAATGCACAAGACAATTACACCATCATGTACTTACAAGGAGTATGGATAAGCTATAACAAAATTTATTATTAATGATGAAAAAATAATTATGAATAAAACACAACATATTCAAAGTAACAAGAATATTTTGACCCGTACGCTTTGCTTTGCTTTGCTTTGGTTTTGTTTGGATTGAATTAAGATTTTTCAAACCGTAAACATCGGATTGAGGTTATTGAAATGCTTTCAACCCGATCCACCCAACCGACCCTCATACTAAAGATACCTGAATCCCTGGACTAATTAAATTCAGATGTAAGAAAAAGAAACAAGTGCAGCACAGATACACGTATATAAATGAAGGGATGGAAACCCAATGGGAGTCACAGTCACCTGGTGGAATGTAATCTAGACGGCGAAGCAGCGGCGGCCGGAAAATTCTCCGACCAATTTGAGCTTGGTGGACTGTTTTCTCTGGATAATCCAATTAAGCCCAATCATAATCATGTATAGCCCAATCCAGTTCCCGGGTTCTTTTTTATATCCGGCCCGTCCCGATAAATACCCAAAATCTGTACAAACTCTTGGATTCATTTTTTTTTCTAGAATACAAGGTTTACATACAAAAAAAAAAAAAAAAAAGATACCCATATATCGTGTAAAGTAGTACGTTTAAAGTTCTCGCTGAGCAAAAGATTTCGTTAAGTTGGACAAAGATTTTGCGTGGTTGTTCCTTACACGTCTTCTGGAAAAAGGGTATGTCGTCATCCTCTAATATGCCATCATTGTGCTCTCGGAAAAGTAAATTGTGCATCCCTCATGGATACGACAAGTGGGTATTATCTAGACTTGAATTTGAGGTCTTACAATGATCCTGTAAGAATGTCTACCTGCATACTTGTTACGCTAAAGCAGTTGACAGTTATTCACCAATCGTCAAGATAACCATACCCTTTTCGTCTTCAAACGTTTTCACACACGATTTTGGTACGATGCTAAATAACATATACACCAAAGATAGATAAATGATTAGAAAGAATATGAAAGTGTATATGTACCAAAACACACACACACAAAAAAAAAA